GCCTTTTGATACGTTCCTTTTTGATGACGCTGTAACTTATTTTTCTAATAAAAGAGCCCTTCGATGATCATTCGAAGCTTTTGCTCATCCCGAGGAATTTCGTCTGGTGTTTTCCTTTTGATTAGGCAGGGACACATGAGCAGCCCACCAGTGTGGCGACAATGCCACAAAAAGTGACAGGACAGTTTTCCACATTTAAACTGTTGCACCATCCTCATGATCGTGTGATCAAAATTCAAATGCTAGGCAACTGACTCATGATGGTTGCGGTATCCTGGAGTCACGTGATCAACTTCTGCAACCTTCTGACCATCAAAGTTAATGGGGAAGACCGATTCACTTAAACCATTTTACTAACTTAACAACAAATCACAGTGACTCGTTTAATGGCCTTTACAAGAAAGGTGGTAAAATGGGGCAAAATTCGCTTAAGAGATTCACTTAACAACTGCCTCCCAGCAACAGAAATTTGGGGCTCAATTGTGACAGTACGTCGAGGACTACCTGTATTTTGGAATTATACTGTTAGCGAGAGCACCTATAAGTACAGTATTACCTTGCATCCTCCTTTTACAAATTTGAGTAAGATAGTTGAAGTTCTGGAGCATACTGCAGTTCAGCATCATTGCCTAGGTGGGATGATGATAATCTACATCAGCTGTTTGCTAGTGCTTATAACTTATTTGCCTTTCTATGTAATTTAAATTCCCAGAACTTGGTGCTACCTAGTCAAACCTAGCTGATCTTGAGAAAGATAAACAACAGAGAGACTGATTGCTCCTTGGATACAAGTCTTAAGGTTATAGGCTAGATAAAGAAGCTGGGGGAAAAAAGCATTCTACATTATGACAATGGCTATCTTCAAGAAAATACATGGACATATCCATGTTGACATCAGGAGTGAATTTTGGATTGAAGGAGTCTACATTTCATGAAGTTTAAGCATGAAAAACAGATTCAGGACATAGGTTCTCTCTAAATCTCTGATAGGCCACAAAGCCTATTTGAAAGCCATAAAGGGAATTATTAAAATACCTGGAAATAAATTGTATTACCATAGTTTTTGTCATTAAGTTAATTTAAAATGTTATATTCTTTGGAATATAATATGGAGTCTAAAAGGCGTTCTCATCTATTGAGAATATTGTACTTCTAAATGTACACATGCAAGAGTTACATTCTATCAAATTCTTTAATAAGAACCTGTTTATTCAAGAGTATTTTAACCTATACTTAACATGTATTTAAAATGTTATAGACTTCAAGGAAATATGGGAACCAAATGTTCTAATACGAAATAATCCGTATAGTCCATCGAATCTTCAAATGCAAGATGGTAGCAACGTTTACAAAAATTGAAAGTGGCACATTTAGAATTATTTATTCTTAATATTTCAAATTTCTAGGCCAGTGGTTCCCAAACTTGGCAACTTTAAGACTTGTGGACTTCAACTCCCAGAATTCTCCAGCCAGCAGAGAAGAATTATGGGAGTTGAAGTCCACAAGTCTTAAAGTTGCCAAGTTTGGGAACCACTGTTCTAGGCCATCCAGTTTCAACAACTCTGGTTGGCGAAATATTTAAATTACAAAAACTCAAAACCTAAATGTCTTACCATCTAGAGAGCCTCCCCCCACATGACCCTCATCCAAGGCCTAGAGAAAGACCCTGCCCTCTGGAATTGAGGGTCTCCCTAAAATCCAGGTAGATTCCAACTTGATGGCATTCTAGAGGGCCTTAAAAGCCTGGATCTTCTAGACCAGTGTTTCTCAACCTTGGCNCGCGGTTTTGTGGTGGAACCAGGAATCACTGGCTCTAATATAAGTTAAAAGTTATTGTCATTCATTATTTTTTTCATTTACAATCCAAAGAAAATTCAGTAAACCTTTTAGGGCAGGTGTCTCCCATGCATGTTGAGAGTTTAGTTGGATTATAGGAGAACACAGAATTGAATTAGAGTGGATTAAAATAGGCATTTTTCTCTGAAAGCAGGAAAAAAATGTAATCTGAAATTTGGAATTCAGGAAAAGTCAGTTAGGTTGAAGAACAGTAAGCCAGAATACAGAGATTTTATAAAAAATGTTATCCCTCATATTGCTATTAAAAGAAATATTTTTTTTATATTTGGTACAAACATAAAAAGGTATTCTAAATTTGCATAGGATTTCTACTGTTTATTATTTATAAAAAGTTATCAATACAAGCATTAAAAAAGAGAAATATTCATCTTTTCTGATACACACATGGTTTTATATATTAAATGAAGTTAACATCCTTGCAGCTTTACCTCTAAGTTTTCCATCACGCATTAAAACATCAAACAGGAATAAGAGCAGCAGAAGAACCTTCTAGCAAATAAAATTAACATGCTAA